TAAAAAAGGATTTTGTAGATCGTATGGTTAGTCTGAGAATCAGGACATTTTTAATCAAACTGAATATGCTATCCTGGGAGTCCAGCCTTTTCCACAAGTTGTTCAGGGGTTCCAGTCTGGGAGAGGTATTCTCTGCAAGTCTCTTTTTTCCCAGAATTCCTCAGCCTACTTTCTGAACTATCAAGGGGTTAAAAACACAGGCTTTGGAGGTTCACCATCTAAGTTAATTCCAGGATTCTCCAGCGGGTAATTTTAACTTACCGCCTGGCCAAACCTCAATTTCCAGCTATACAATGAGACCTACCTTTTGGAGAATGATTATGTAAACAAAGAAGGGCTCAGTTAATGTTGACTTTTATCACTGTCTCCTGTTACATATATAAAGAAAAACCTATAGTTATCTTAGTTATTGCTTGTTTATTTTATGATGGAGTTATGGTAAATACTTTGGAAGTACAATTTTTTAAGTCTAAGAATTATTATTGTTCCCATTTTGTCCACAAGAAAATGAAGTCAGAGTGATTATGCCTTTCATCCAGGGAAGGCAGAGCTTCGTTCTAGAGCTTGCTGTGCTCTGCTGTTTCCTGATGTTGCCAGTGTCTTTGTGGCATAGAATAGTGCTGAACCACACTAGAAGGTTGAGCCGTGGCTCTCAGCAGCATTCTGAGCTTGCTTCCCACTTTGTGCTTACCCCTAGCACCAAGAGCTCTAATTTTAGTTTCTTGGGTTCCTTTTCTCCGCATTTCTCTGCATAACTTAGGGACCATATTGTTGATTCTGAATCCCAAATAGGATCTCTAATAGATCTCTCATAAATTCCCTGATGCTTTAAGCCTTGGTTTCTGTATAATGGTGTAATGATAGTACCCCTTATGGAATTAAATGAGTTTAATATAATTTTTTTAAAGAAAAGGTTAAAACAGCACTGGGCACATAGTAAGTGTTCAGTAAATAGCAGTGGCAGCTGTTATTTTTGTAATGGTTACACAGTGAACAGTATATACCATGCAAATCAGAATCTTGAATTTTTCTGCACAAGCACCATGACTATTTACTTCCATTATCCCCATCCAGAGGCAATGAGTTAAGTCAAAGTAAAATATATCTCTTCTGTGGTTTAACTCCCTCAAAAGAGGAAAGCTTTGAAAACTTGAGCCCAGGTTGCTGTCCCTTGAGAGAAAGGTTTTTAGATGGTGGGGCCTGAGGCTATTTGCTGACCCCTCCTCCTAAATGTTGCCACTAAGTGCTGTGTTTGAGGTCTCTTCCTCCTAATAACAATCTGTACAGAAGCTGAGAGGCGCATATGATAGGGCTTCTTCTCCCAGGGTGATGACTTGGGTCAAGGGAACAGAGATGACACTCAGAAAGAAGCTCCTTTTTTTACTATTTGCCAGCCTTAGCACCAGGTCCTCATTTAATGGATGCAGCTGAGGTCCTTTGGGCAACGTTTTACTTAGCTATGGAACCAGGATTTCTATCAATGGACATTTAATTCCTAGCCCATGTACTTTTTTCCTCTCCAATACCTGCCTTCCAGCTTGGGTTTCAGTTCCAACTCTGTCCCCACCCAGAGAATCGGAGCTGTCCAGATGAAGTCCTGGGCCCGTTTGTTGTCTCCCATCACCTCTCTTTTACCACCTAGTAGAGAAATGTTCCCTGTGTCCAGTTGATGCTGGCATCAGAGCTTCTCTGTGGTAACTGAGTGTCTGAGCACGGACACAGTGCAGAATTCTCCAAGTGAGTAATCTCTTTTTTAAATGCCCGTACGTTTTTCAGTGGTTACAGACTTGACAGAGCCTAGCTCTGAATTGACTGAAGCACTCCTGGCAGCATTTAGTCAGCTCTCTGAAGTGGAGCTTCATCCTGCAACAGCGCAGGCAGCCTCTGAGCCTCAGGAAAGCAGCTCCTCCCTCTGCCTGGCCCTCAGAGTGCCCTGCGCCCAGGGCGAGCAAGCAGCTGCCTGTTCACAAAGGGGGCGCTTGCAGAGCCCAGAGCTGGGTCAGTGTGTGACCTGCCTGTGTACTGGGCACCTTGTACGAGCCACAGCCCTGAGGAAGGGAGGCAGGACTAGCAGTATACTTTCCCCTCAAGATCATTGTCATCTCAGTCTCCAACACCGTGCCCTCCGCTGCCATGACAGGCTTTAACAGATGTGTTTCAATAGACTTTTTAGAAAGCCCATAAAAACCCCTAGATGTAAAGAAATGAGGCATAAAACCTAGAATGCTTGGAAGTCAAGCTGAAAATGGTAGTAGCAAGTCTCCGTTTCCAGTTATTAAATGGGAGCATAACTTAATGGTTACACCTAGGTGGGTACGGAGAAGCGCTTAACATTCCTTGCATCTTAGGAAGCCGAGAGTGGAATCTGTCAGAAACCAGGCTTTGCCCGATCTACCCCTGTGCGGCGCTCCAGATACGGAACAGGATCTGGAGTTTATATTCATCTGGAGGGGCCGGAGTGGTGGCCTGGCGTTTTACAGAATTGGAGCAGGGAGTGAGATAGGCACCCTCGTGGAGGCCATTCCAGTGCCGCACGTGCCCCTTCCCTTCGCTGTTGTTTTCATTTTCCTCTCATGAACCTTGCTACCCTGGCTTCAGCACGGAGGCTGTAAAGGAAGATGGAGAGCCGAGTTACCTCAGAATGATCACTATCGTTAACATTCACGGGTGGTTCACTTATCATTCCTGACTGCACAGACATGGCAGCCGCTCGCAAGCGTCCGCAGGTGTAGCATGGTGATACATATTACATTGTGCCACAATGGATTTATGTATTCTGTAACAAAAGAAAAGTGTAATGAAAAAATACAGAAGGTAATCCTTTATTCCTCCACCACACAATTTATCAGTAATGCCTGTGGATGATAAGTGCCAGGGATTTCTTCTGCTTGCTTTAACCTTGTCACCTAGGTACGTTTTGGTAAAATGACAGAAAAATACAGACTGGGGATTTTCCTGTGTTCAAAAATCTTTTAAAAGGACACTTACAATTTATAGAAGTTAGTCCAAACACAAGGCTTCTTTTTGAGCTGTTAGTCTGCCTTTGCTGAAAAAGATGAACGTATTGGCCTGAAATAATGCTATCAGCCAGCAGCAGATCAGAAGAGAATGTAAGCAATGTGTGAGTCAGCTCAAGTCTACAGTAGTTCAGGTAGAGCTAGGTGGATGGGAGTTCGGGGGTACTGGCCAGCACTGGCTTTTGAGTACCTAAGAACTTGTGTTGCCTTTCAGACCCGCTCATCCATCGCCAACATATTGTCACAGATGGAGCACATACTGATGTCTGAGGAGAAAGCAGGGGAAGGCAGATCTGAACGTGGCTGATTGGCATTTGTTCCAAACACACACTGGCCTATCGCCAGAGCAAATACCCCAAGTTTTTAAATGCACAAGGCACTTTACATTTCAGTATCCCTGCCAAAGTATCACTTACTGCATCACTCCCTAAGTATAGGGGTTTTTTTAAAGAGCTATTTCTTATTTTGCTTTGATCAGTAAAATAAACTTTTAAAGATTGTTCTGGGATGGGGTCCAGCTTGTGAGGTAAAAAATGGCTGGAGCTCAGGCATGATTCAGTAACAGAGTGTTCAGTAAAATTAGCTTGACAGTTCTCAGGCCTGCTGTTCGATAGCAAGAACTTGACCAAGTCAAAATGGATGATCACGCTGGCCAGACCAGCATCGGCTTTTGCTTTTTAACAAATGGAATGTCAAGGATTAAACAGCAAGCGGTATGGAGAGGAGGACTGTAGAGATGTCTGTGTATTAGGGAAGCAAATCGGGTTCTCAGTTTTGAGATCGACCTGAACCCCTATGGCAAGCCAGCCACCTGGTTGGATCCAGCCAACGCTTCAGGCTCCTTCCCAGCCTATCTAACCATTGGAGAGCTCTTCCGGGGCTTAGCTTAGAGCTTGGCTTTTCTTTCAGATTTCTTGTCAGTATGAAGTTCTGCCATGGTTTTTGGCCATGTTCCCCTTTGAGATTCTTACAGAGAAATGGGAATGCAATCAAACTCCTTGTGGCAATTCCCATGTTCCATAGTTGGAAACTTGGGTCCTGTTTGTTACATGAGCTACTTGGAATTGGCCTATTTTGTTCCAGTGCCCAAGCATAGTGGGTGGTATTTGTGATACTAGATATTGCAATTATGTGTCTTGGTGAAGTTATACCTCACCCAAAGAGACAGGCTGCTATTTTTTAGAGTACTTGTCATTATCTACTCTTGCTAGCTAGATATGCAATTTGATCAGAAACTTCCAAGTAATGTTAGTGTCTTCTCTTAAAATTACTTGTACTAGCCGGGGATTTAGCTTAGTAATTTTAAACGCTTACTTGGTTAATGCAAGGTCATGAGTCTGATCCTGGTACCAAAAAAAACAAAAAAATTGTACTTCAGTTAATGTTTGGTTTGACTTTGTAGCACTAAGTAGATGAAACCATTCCTACTGTAATGTGTGTATGTGTGTGTGTATATATATATATATATATTCCTATTGTAATGTGTGTATATATACATATATTTGTACATACTTAGATAGACAGGAAGACGTGTTTTACTAGCTAGCTAGGAAGAGCCTTTTCTCCATCTTAAGTGCTATGGGATATCCTTTCTTTTCCCCTTGCCCACCCACCCCCAGGTTTTTCTGTGGGACACCATGAGCTTGTTATGATAGTAGTATCTGCTTACAGTGACACCTGCTGACACAAGCCAGTTTTGTCAGTTATCAATCCTTGCTGCAAGGGAACCCATGATGCAACTGACCCACACAGACCAGCTGGGTTCAATTTGAGATAAATGAGGAAAGCCTTCTCCAACCATGACCTCTCGTGTGAGGGGTCTGCTAGACTGTGTTACTCCCCATCCTAGTACTATAAGTAGTTATTCAGTCCATTTTTGAACAGTTGGTACTTTGATCTATACTTACTTTAAAGCACAGTGAAGATTTTAATAATATCTCTGGTTGAATGCTGGGGATGATTTAATTTTATCTTTTGCTACAGAAATGCTGCTCATGGATTCTCCCTTATTCAAGTGGACAACACAAAGGTCACCATGAAGGAAATCTTGCTAAAGGCAGTGAAGCGAAGAAAAGGATCCCAGAAAATTGCAGGTGAGTTAGTTAAAATTATACTGTGGAAATGAGAGCTTAGCCTTTAGTTAAAAGAGCCTAAGGTATGAGGGTGTACGTGTGTAAGTACGTGCACGTGCATGCATGCACACATGCTTCGGTATGTCTGTGTTTGTGTGTATGTACATGTTTCTGATTTCTGCCTAAATTGTTTCATGTATGATTGCTAGATTTGGTGAGCCACTATATAACAAAAATAAATCCCACACTCCAAAAAAGGTAATTTTATTTTTTAAATACCTTCCTCTGAACCTCAGAAAGGGAGTGGGTAGGGACATATGTGAGAAGAATGTGTTTACATCATTTATGGATATTCTGTCATTAATAATGTGGGTAAATTAAGACAGAGCTATTTGTGCTAACTATGAGTGGCTATAAGACTGTCTTAAAAACAGAATCAATCCTGAGCTTGAATCACTACTCTTAATTTCATGTTTTCATGTAATTTTCAATGGGAGAACTTTTAGTTGCTAGTAATTTGGGAATGGAAAAAAAGAAAGATTTTTGTTCATCTTTACCAGTTGTTCATCTTTACCAATTATCTTTTTTGAAAACGATAAATCACAAGTACCTGTTTATCTCTAACTCTTCATCACCTAGGTTTATGTAAAAAATAGGCTTATGGTATTAGCTATGAAAATTAAAGCATGCTGAAAAAAAATGTTACCATTATTGAGAAATAGTTATTTTTGAGGGATAACTTAAAGATCTGTTATACCACTGGCCATACATGACATGTCAAATATCTTAGCTTTATAAATAAGAGACTTCTTAAAAACCTTTGATTTCACCTTTTAGAAGGAAGAAAAAAGCACTGCACAGGTTGAAGAAAATAGTTTTGTGCTCTTTTTAGAGGGAGGCATATAATCTGTTCCAGATTTAATTAGCTATCTTCAGATGAAAGCTGAAGTTTTAATAAAAGTTAGAAGAGATAACACAGTGAAGGACACGGATGAGCTGTCTCAAGGCCATATTCCAGGGGAACGATAAGAGCTGTAAAAAATGGCAGAGGAGAGCAATTGAATGGAGCAATGAAAATCTGATTCTCATAAAAAAGAAAGAGAGAGAGATGCTGGTAGGGGCGGTTGTAGATGAGACCTGCTAGCGTCTGCAAGCAATTTGGATGCTTGCCAGGAGTCATTGTTCACCCTCGGCTGTGGCGGCTCCGTCCAGATGTGCCAACTGCACGTTTCGGCTTTTGCCAGCTGACTGCGCCGTTTGATAACCAGCTCTCTGGATGCCCATCACTGGCCGCAGAGATAGAATTAAATGATGATGATCTTCCCACAAGTTGGGAGAGGAAACAATGCATATAAATCTTGATTTCATCTCAGCATGAGAAGTCTTTATCCATCATCACTCATAATGAACAAGTCGTTAGCTGGGATGAATGGTGTTCTGGTTTTTCCAAACAACTCTTTTGTTCATTTTTTGGGTGACTTTTATCTATTGCATGGGGGTCAAACCTCTTTGTATTTAGGGGATGATTGAAGAGGCATAGCTTCTCCTTCCCAGGGGAAAGTAGATATTTTGGGGTTCCAGGGACTAATCTAATAGCTTTTAAACAGCGTCAGATACTCACAGATATCCAATAAGTACTCAGTCCTTCTTTAGATTTTGGGTTCATTTTTCTTGTTTGGTCTCTAGGTTTTTAACATAGCTGTATATTTTGTGATATAATTCTTTACGCTCAAGAATGTATCATTAGGAATTATCTAAGAATGAGACAGAACTTTTCAAACCTTCATTATAGAAATTGTGCTGTCACAGATTTTTTTAGACCATGAAACCCCTGTGAACTCACTGGGATGCTGCTGAGCCAGGGTCTTCCTTCTGTGTCCAGCCGTCTCTGTTCAGTCTTATACCTGTTGTCTGTGTCTGTACCCTGACACATTGTGGACACATTTATCATGCATAAATCTGTTTATGTTCACCTTTGTGAACACATTCCTGCCATTTCCATCGCCATCTTCGCCACATCCTTGGCAAAGATTTAGTACTCATTATTTGAGAAACATTGATCTATATTTATTCCTTTTCTTACTAGAGAAACAGGTTGAGGTTAATATATTTACATAAATTATGGTGTCCATTTTCTTAATTCAAAAAGCTTTTACTTATAATAAATTTTTTCAGTTGCTTTGTTAAATCTGGCCTCATGAAATAAAATGATTCTCAGTTTGGCAAAAACACTTGTTTGAGGTTAACATGGTAAAAGGACGTTGTATGATTTTGAACCTTATATTGAGGAGTGGATTTCTCCACTTTATATTGAGGAGATAATTAATGAAAAGAGGAAAATCTTGTCATAGAGGGAAGGACAAGTACATTTACTTTTTAAAAAATCAGTGCTGTCACAGTTGGCTGTGAAATATTTACACTTGCCCATAGTGGTACCTGAACTTAGTCACGAACTATTGGGAAGAGATGTCAGGTCAGAGACGAGCATGTGCACTTCGTGTGCTCCTGCCACAGTGACCGCTCCATCTCCACCGCAAGAAGGTGCCTGTCATGCTCTGCATCCAGGACAGAATCAGAGTGCCATCCCTCTCAGCGTACAGCTTTCACCTGATTGAGGGCAGAACCCGACCCCACGTCTCTGCTGTATTACTCAAGTGAGAGGAGGGGAAATACCACTTAAGGACACATGTGTGCCATGTGGAGCCAGTAGTTCTCACATTACTTATTTACTATTTACTTCCTATTTACTTTACTATTTACACTAGAACAAGTGTTCAGAAATACTTTGGTGGGCTAACAGGTGCACTTCTGTCCTTACCTGCAAACCTTTAACTTCCCTTAGCTTTTTTCCAGACTGACTGTGTTGCTCTTCAGTTAATAGTAACAAAAACTTAGAATTTGAACTATTTTATTATTAAATAAAGATGAGGCTTAGCTGGGCACAATGTCACACACTTGTAATTCCAAGAGGCTGAGGCAAAAAGATGACAAGTTCAAGGCCATGCTGGGAACTTAGTGAGAACCTGTCTCAAAACAAAAATTGAGACAGAAAGACAGGCGGGGTTTTAATTCAGTGGTGGAGTTTGCCTAGCATATGCTACAAGACTCTGGGTTCATCCCTACCACTGCCAAAAAACAAAAGCAAAACGAAACTTAATAATCACAGTCCTAATAGTTAAATACTCTGTACTGTCCCCTCTGACAGTCAATTCCCAGTTTTCATTTATAAAAAATCAGAAAGTAGTAGATACCTGAGCAGAAATTCTTTGTGAGGTAGACAGCATTTTCAGTGGGAACTTTCAGGATTTCAAAATACTTTTATTTTGTAGGGTAGAATATGATGGTAAATACTTGTAACTAATCTAAAATTCAAACTTACATTATTTGTAATTATTTCTTCAAGTCATAACTATTTATGAACACAGCAGGATTTTTTTCCTGTTAATATTCATGTACTTAACCATAGTAGACTTTTCACAGTGTATTCCAGTCAGTTCTCTGCTAAGGCCCATTTTTAAAGCCTATTTTTAAGCATCTCCTTTAAAGTTTCTGTCTTTTCATTTATTACTGACCTACTTGACATTTGGAATCTGTCTGCATCGACAGAAAGTCCCTACTGTTGAAGAAACAGTAAATGGAGAATCCGGTTTTAGAAGAATAAGATGAAACCTTTTTATTAATTTTAACAGTTGGGTGAGTGTGTTTTTGACACAGTGAAGATGACCTGTTAGGTGTCTATAGATTTAGCCAGTAAAATATACTAACCTGTTATTTAGGTATAAAGGCTAATTATTTTTTATCCTGTCAAGGTCACCTCGTGATCAGTGACCTTCTGAGTTTTATGGTATTTTGTTTATTGTTATACTTGTTTAAAAATGTTACTACTCACTGGCCTGTCCCAGTCTCCTAAAGCATGATGTTGGGTAAAAGATGCCATTGAGAAACAGAGACAGATCAGTTTCAATTTTAACATGGACACAGAAATATAGGTTCTTCCTGATCTACAAAACAGAGGATTCAGAGTATGTTTTACCAAGCAGAATAGATTTCTGCATAGCTCTGATTCAATATTTTTTCTCATTACGAAATGATTCTTTTGTATTACCAGCCAAAAGATAGAATATATTTTTTCTAACCTCCTGTCCATTCTTGCTTTTTGATATGAAAGATGGATGTTTATTAGATTAGAACTTTTTAAAAGTTCTTATAATATTGCCAATACACCTGTGACATTCATTCCTACTTCTCATAAAATTTCACCTATGACTTGAAAGTGTTAGCTTGGTGAAGTGAACACCTGTAATGTCTGTTTGGTAGTCTCAGTGTATTGCCTGCTAGTATACTGTTTGCACAGGACTCTAGATGCAACTCACAGCTTCTCAAATGGTCTTCCTGGAGGTACTGCTAGGAGCAGAGAGGGGGCAGTCCATGAACAGCTACTGCAAGTGTGAGGTTATGGTCTGAGGGTGTCAAACTAACAGTGGCATCACTGGAGTCTTAATTTGTATCTTAAACTTCTCATAAAATCTACTTCCTGATCCACAGTGTATTTGTAGCTCTGTTGCACATTTCCTTATCACATACCACATTTGTTAGGCCTGTGCTGGGTGTAGGGGGACAGTGATGAAGGCCAACGAGGCCTTTGCTGACTCCCTTCTGCTGAGGGGGGTTTATATTCTAGACCACTGATAGCAGATCTTTCAGAGATTTCAGTAAAACAAATAGCCCACTGTGGTGTGCATACCATAGGTTCACTTGTACTTCTCTAGAGGGAGCATGCACTCGAGGGGCTAAGAGAGAAGACTAGTGTGTGGGGAGCTCCCGGCTTCATCCGGGAGTATGAGTTCGGGAGCCTCCTCCCTGAGACACTGACATTCAGACAGAGACCTTCACATTTAGTCTGTGAAAAGTTAAAGAGCAGGAAGGGCCAGTCACTCATCATATTTTAATATGATTACTTTTTGGATTACTCTGCAGTGTACTTAGTTCTTCATTGAATCTTAAGAGACATAACAGCACAA